CACGCACCGCGCCTGCGCGCCAGAGGTCTTGGGAGGGGCGGAAACGGCACGAGGACTACGATGCCCATCACACCTTGCGCCTCGCGGGCGGTGCATGCTGGGAGCTGTAGTTTCCGGGGCCGTGCTGCCATATTGCCGGCTGTTTCTCACCCAGGCCGGAGCAGGGCGCTGGCCGGGTGGGTCACCCAGGGAGGGGGCCGTGTAACCTCACTCCGTGGGGACCAGCTTTTCCTCGCGGGTGGAGGCAGGCTGGAGCACCCTACCTGTGCGAGTGGGGGGTGGGCGGTGGTCACTGTGGTTGCAGTCCCCATCCTGCTCCACAGTTCACTGGGAATGGGGTGGGGAGGGAAGCAGCTGACTCTGGGCTAGCCTCCCGCACGCGCCACCAGTTTGGGAGGTCGCCAGGTCTCAGGTCAGAGATGGCTCACATAAGGAAGGGCTCAGGGACTGTGTATTCTGGTTGGCTCACTTCATTGAAAATAGCACAAGGGTTCATGTGTTAGCGTAACTGAGTGAGCAACTGAAACACAGCATGATTCCATACAGACAGGTATCAACAAAGGGAACACATCACCCCTAAAGATCCACCATCCATTCAGCCCCACTACGACACATCCATTCAACACAAAACGCAAGTTCCAAGCCCTTTTATTTGAAAGAAAAAATAAATAAATTTCTTACCAGGTAGAGAACAAAATTAACTGTTTCTGAGACATTCAGATCACAAAAAATGATGCAAAATATCCTTTTAGCAATATTTAATATTGGTATCACTTCTACAACTTCCCTGAAGTGAGCAGAACACTGCACAAATTATTTTACCCATGTACAACTACTCAAACTCATTGTGCACATACATTCAGAAGAGGTTGTGCTTCTAAACAGCCCCTTTAATAAATACAACTCTTCAGTCTGCCTGTCAAAATATCATGAATGGTCGAGAGTTAGATAAAATTAGACAAACAGTGTAACAAACCAATAAATTAGAAGAGTAATAAAATAAAATTCTCTGTGGTTGAATATTAGCTGATAACAAATGGAGAAGAAGAAACTATTCTGTGAGGGTGGCTCATGCTTCAAATCTTGGTGCTCTCTGGACAAAGCTACTTCAAAATCACAAAATCCTTGTGCTCCAGCGCATCAATCTTCTTCTCGTTGCGGAACTCCGCTCGGCTGATGCAGGACTGGGGGCTTCCTGTCTTTCTCAGCCATTCCTGGAGTTTCCGTACGTTGGCCGTTGGACCCTGAAGTTGTCCTTGCACAGTGCCATGGCTAGTATTTTTGACCCAACCAACCAGTCCTAGTCTCCGTCCCTCAGCCTGAGAAGAAAACGTAGAGCACGGTGAAGGTGAACTACACAATGCCGCTCACACACAGGAGTTAGTTTTATAGACAAGACACAGAGCTCCAGGGAAGCTCCCACGGGTCAGACAGAAGGAAAGCAGCAGAGGAGTCATCCGCTACTCATTATATTCCTTCACATGAAAAACAGGGGCTGAAACATACTTCAGTCATGCTTACATAACGCAGCGCAAAGTCACCCGCAGCACACAGTACTGAGAGCTGCAGTGAGGAGCACGAGCCAGGACTGCGGCA